CTACCTTAGTAGGTAAGTTTCATTTTATATTTCGAAACAACTATTGCCAATAACTCTCCCTACCTTTAGCATCGTATTAAATTCATAAACAATAAATCCAATATCATAATACTCCATTCCAACCACAACAGCATACATAAGCGGCATTGTTAGGGGGTGAAAGGAAATACAAGAGTGTTTATTATTGAGTTTATGTAATCAATCCCCCAATTGGTATTCGATTGTAAAAATTAGTTACAAAAATAAGATCCCACTACGAAAAAGTCTCCTAGTTGTGCAAGTTTTTCTTCAGTCGCTGTTGCTGTATGCAGACTTTCCTACGTACGTTCACACATTCTGCAACTGCATCTCTATCTATATCTCAACATGCCTGTACTACTGGTCGCATCTCAATCTCCAGAAACAAAGCGCACCATGGCCTTAACCGGAACTGAAGGCATGCCCTTGGGTCTCCCATATTTCTGTACATTCTCTTGGAATGGGCAGGCTCAACACCAATACTGAAGCTGGCATGTCTTGAAGAAGAAAAACAAAATCGATCAAAAGAATGTCAAGTTTTCCATAAAGCAGCAAGCAAGTATTAAAATACTTGACATAATCTAATCCAGAAGTGGAATTTGAGCAAATCAACAAGAAAATAACATAACATTGTGGAATTCTTAGCATGATCAAAAATATACGCCCTACATTGAAGAAATTAGGTCATATACCTGAAAAACAAAGCAGAATCACATCGCTGTAAGCCCCTCATCCCACAACTTCTTCCTTGCAATCAAAACTCTTTCTTCACTTGAGGAAAGAGCATCAACCCGTGGTTCTACTTCTGATAACCAGCCATCCCACTTCAAGGCAGTCAGAAACTTTCGGATATAGTTTATAACAGCAGGTTTGTCTCTTATGATGACAAACCCATCTGGTCTGAGTATCCTATCCATTTCAATCAATAGATCCTCTGCACCACAGCCCCGCTCATTGATCTCGGAAAATACTGCCCATGCATGTAGAAGATCATAGGTTCGCGGGTATGTGGAAAATGCTTCACACCTATAAAATACAGTAAGTGAAAATATTCAAATCTCTGAACAGACCAACAATATCTATATAAAAGTTATAAACTTTAACTAATAAAACATAATCAGATAGCCAGCATAAAATGATCCATAAATCAAACATGCAGCAAAAAGGATATCAAACACATAATCGAAAGGATAAGAGGCGGGGTTGAGGACTGAATTCAGATCAAAATACGTACCAGTCATGAACAGTTCCAATTAAGCCCCGATCATATATGATCTTTAGTCTGGAAGATACACGGACAGGAGCAACATTCATCACCCAAACATCTTTTCCATTCAGGGCAGCAGCAAATCCACCAAGGTTTGAGTTCATATCCATGACATTTCTGATTGAATTTTTCTGTATGACAGACTTCATCTGCTTCCAGTACTCAATCACTCTAAAACGCCATATGCCCTGCATCGCATGGATTTTTTAGGCACTCATTAAATAGAACAATAAAATTTAGCAGGCAAACTTCACCATGAAGAGTTAGCTTGTAATCAGGAAACTTACAGTGTCCTCTTGGAATTCTTCAGGACTGACACCAATTTCTTCCAGGCGGGGGGGTGCTGTGGTAAGCCTCTGTGGCCAAGGAGCTACTCTGCTTCCTTTTTCCTTGTGCACCTCTGATTTATAATTTTTTAGTAATGATAATAATTAGAAGCCAAAAACATTAATAATGGAAGTATCGCCATGCTACTTACTTGCAGAGTATCGAGAAATGCATGCCTTCATGCTCACATTCCAACTTGCATCTGGATCATCATCAGAATCGCACAGGGGGGGCTGGGTCTGAGGATCTCTCTTCAAGTAACAACTATTAGTCAGTGGCTTGGCCCATACAACACTCTGCTCTTTCTTTGCTGCAACTTTCCAGCACATTCTTTTTAGAAGATCAGACATAGCATTCCAGATCCTCCGATTTTCCGGATCCTGTGCATATGCTTCAGGAGAAGTGTACACAAAATACCCTCCAGGTCTTAGTAATCTGTCAAGCTCTAATAACAGGATTCCATCTCTTTGAAGCCAATCTATTCGACACCGTGAACAATGAGCCAGCTCAAATGATCTGCTTGGATAAGTAAGTCTTTTTGTACCCAAGATACCAAGAGTAGAGGGAATCCCCCTCTCTAGTGCAAATTGTATTTGATTCTCATGCGCATCATTAGGAGCAAGGGACAAAGCTATGACGTGGTGAGAAAGAAGATAAGCCCCAAAACTTGCAACTCCACAACCCACATCGAGAACATTCCGGATATTTCCACCATTGTTGAACTTATCCGCAGGAAATTTAAGCATCTACATAAATAAGAAGCATACCGAAAAAAAAAAGTTATGCTATGTCCACTTGGGATAGTGCATAATTGAATAATTCTCCAGTGCAGAGAATGAAACTAGGAACAGAAAAGGCATATATTAGGAAATCCAGACCAAATATCATTAAGTTAAACATGAGGAAACAAACCTTTATTGGTGCAAGCTGGATTCAACCAAATAGCTAAATCAAAGTGGAATTTTGTGTTTTTCTTTCTTCCAACAAAATAAAATTCTAAAAAGAGAATTGCACTAAATCCAAGCTGCTAATTACTCTTCCCCTTATATTATTAAACAAATATAGAAAAGAATCAAGAACTGAGTCAAGGTTATGTACCCTGGAAAGAGCAACAATGTACTTATCAGCTCCATCATGGAAATGTGTCCCTCCACCAGGAAAATTGATCTTGTCCCCATTCACAACCATCCAATTCTGATCTGATTTCTCTTGAGCAAGATGGGTGTGGGGGATGTTGGCCTTCCACACTTCATCTCTACTTTCCGGCCATCTTATAGGTATCTGAAACTCTAGAAATGATTTTGTCGGAATCAAAACCAAGTGAAGCCAAACAAAGGTAAACTTACACAAAAGCAATGACCATCTACCTTATAACCAAGTGGCGGTGGTATCAAGCAATTATAGCGTCGCTCTGGAGGCGGGCAATGCCGTTCATAATGCTCCATTAACGTCAAATTGGGCTTCAATCTCAGTTGGTAAATAAGGTTTCTATCAATACAAGGTATCAGGTCCGAGAACTGTAAATCACAGACCTGTGAGAACGTGAAAGGTCATCAATTCAAATGAACAGAAATACAAACAAGACAAGAAGATCAGCAAACGCATCTCTATTGATTATTAGTATGCACGCCAGCAAGGGTAAAATAACTTACACTTGGAACAAAAAAGTAAACATTTTTATAACACATGCTCTATGCCAAGTGAAAACACAAAATTAGAAACAACAACTTTCAAGTATTTGCTTACAGAGTCCAGATAAAACTCATCGGTTATACAAAAAGGTGCAAATTTTTTTCTTCACACGAATACCGCAAAATTATTAACAAGTTATTAAATTGTATTAAAATTGCTATAGAGAGGTATGCTTTTTTCCAGAACCCAAAACAGTAACTCAAGTAAGATACTTAACAATTTACTTAGCAGCAAAATTATACTAAGCAGCAAAAATAAATAAAAAATCTAACAACCATGAATTAATGCGTTACGTACAGGCAAGCTTTTGGGGACCTCGGAGTTGTGCTCCTGATCTTCATGTAAATCGTCAAAATCACGATGGAGAACGAACCCCCCGAAAATTGGGTCGGAGCCATCGGACCCGGAAGCCTCTTCGTCGGATCGCCGCGAGCCCGGGCCGAAAGACCACCCGTAGTATAAACAAAGCAAACCCAGACACACAACGAGACCGATTAGAACGGACTTGAGCAACTTGTGAGTATTAGGGAAACTGAGCTCACTCTTGTGCTTCATTCCGTACATTCTTCGAGCTCGGGCTCACTCTCAAGCTCGATGGATCCGACCCGAGTTTTGCTGAAACATGAACCTAAAGCCCTAGTGGTACTGGTAGATCCATGGCTAGAGAGAGAGAGAGAGAGAGAGAAGAAGTGCCGAATATGAAGCAGAGATTGTCCGGCGCTCCCTCTTTTCGCGGGAGGGAGAAAGAGATGGAGGTGCTAAAGTGCGGTCGAGCCTACGTGAGTATCAAGCTGACTCAATTTACCGAAAGTACCCTTAAGCTTGTGACTTGAAATGGAATCTTTGGGGTGGTTAATAAGGTCATTTAGTAGAAGAAAGATTTTTGGGCGTTTCAATGAATTTTGGTTTGGTTTGCGATTGACTGTTTTGTGGCATATTAATGTTGGAGACGTTGGACTCTTGGGTCACTTCCTTTTCTACTTTTGGGAAGTTGTGTGAGGCCCATAGGCTATAGCCCACCTTAATTTTGATTGTTCATTAATAGGAACTTTATTATTTGTTGTCAAGAAATAAATATTTAGAGTGGGTCCAACATTTTACCAGGCCCTGGGTTTGTTTGTTAGGACTCTGGCCCACCTCAACACCCAATGTGTACTAATATAGGTTTAAAATTCGTGCGCTCCAGTCCACCCTTACTTAAGCTACCTTACATCTTTGGGTAAATATACTTCTTTTCCTATTATATTATATTCCTTGTTGGAGAAGGATAGGGATTGTCATCCTTATTGATTTAGGGCTAGTTAACTACATACATGGTTTAGGGCTAATTATTACAGGTTGCTTGCTGATACACACACGGTCACACCCACCAACCAAGGCACTAAGCATGAGCAGGATATTAGCTGCTGCCCAGTTATACGCACAGAGATGGAGAACGTCAGCTGCTGCTTCCGAAATACAGAGCATCAGCAGGTCAACTGGTGCTTCCGAGTACCGTTTTTTATATACCGGTGTGAATCAAATAGAAGATGTAAGAATCTCATTAGACTCAATTCCCAGGGACAGGTTCAAAATCTGTATGGATTATGAAGAGAGAACTCGAGTCTTCCTTTGGATTCCTGATGAGCATCTTCCAGTAGAACTTCCTTATGCTACTACATACCACCTCCTTGCTGAGAGGAGTTTCTAAGTCCCTATGCGTGATGTCAAGCAATTTTCATCAAGGCCTAAATGGACGCATGTCTTGGCTTATCATCTTTCCAAGATGGGTGTCCCACAAGGTGCGCAGCCAGCTCTCATTGTAAGAATACTTGACTACATTGAAGAGGCCGACAAAGACAGCTTTGAGTTGCCTATTCTTGTGCATATTGTGGATGCCACTTATCACTATCTGAAGTCGGACCACGACAACGACATCCTTGATAGGGTTATGAGGCAATCCTCGGAAGCATACAGGGCCATGCTTATTCCTGCAGCTCAATCATCCATTCAGGGCTTGGAGAATGTGAGGCTTGATGATCCTACTTTGGCCCCGTCGTCCGCATGTATTATTTGTATGGAGGGCCTGCTCCTTGATCATCATGATGATCATCACTCTGATAATATTAATGTCGTCCCTGCTTCACAAGATGAAGATGATGACCATGATCAAGATCAAGGTCAAGGGGTTGATCGTCATCGTCCACCAATGACGATCAAACTCTTGCCCTGCTTACACCAGTTTCATGAAGATTACATCGTCCCGTGGCTGCAGATCAATCACTTGTGTCCCCTGTGCCGATACCCGTTGGAAGTGCGCCAGTCATCAAAACCCAAACGAAGGAGATTATCATGAAATAATGAAAGGAGACCTGCAGCCATGATGCTCAGCTGGAACAATATATGGTAAGATGTTAATTAATTGTTGTATTAGCTCCGGACCTGCTTATTTCTATTTCTTTATTTCGAGGGGAGGGTTTTCATATCCTAGTGATTATGCTGCTCATCAATGAGAAAACAATGTACTACTGCTACTGGTGTTTTTAAGTTGCATTAGCGGATTTGTCTTGTTTAACTATTTGGGCATTTAAGCCTGAGAAAAGTAAACAATCTTAAGAACATAAATAATATATGGTTTTCCGAGCAAAATAATTTCATGTCTTAAGGTGTTTTTCCTCCTAATTATAGTCTAAAAGCTCTTCATTCTTTTCTTTTCTTTTCTGGTTGTTTGGTTTTCCTGCGACTTATATTCCTTCATGTTTTCCTATAAAGACTGCAAAATCATGAAGAAACTTGTAGCGTGCAAAAGAATTAAGTTAAAACCGATAATATTTATTTGTTTTCTTCCCCCTCGTTTTCTATGTAGTTGCTGTCGATCTTTACATCACTCAGCCGACCGTTACATTCTCTTCAAAACAGTTTACCTCCATTTCAGCCATGCTTCATGCCCATTATTGAAAACCAGAGATTCTATAAGGTTTGATTCCCTCCATGTCTCTACCATTTAAAATTAGGGTTCGTAGGTACATTCAATTTTTCAGACTAGTCGCAAAGAGAAGACGATATTGACTCTGACAAACGATTCCGGCACTTTTGCAGGCTACTTAAATTCATAATCAAAACTGATGCATAAAGAGGATTGAATTGCAGGCTAATTCGGTGGGAGGAAATCAAAACAATAAATTCAGGAACCAAGGCTTAATACACCTCCCACATAACACGTTAAATTATAAATATGGGTAGTTTTGGAATCCGAAAAATATAATAAATCAGATTTTAAGTTATATTAGGTAACTGCTTAGTTGGATCCTAGTCATCGGGTATTATTTTAAAAAATTGGGTATTTTAAATAGAAAAATAAAAGGAAAGGATGTAGATGATTTTAAATGAATTTTATGGGTGTAACCTCAATTGGTAGTATACACAACAGAACAGACACAATGCAAAGCCTTGCACAGAGCAGAAGGAAACACAACAGACACAAAGGAAGACTCCAGCAGCTTTCAAAATTACAGGAAGATTACTGCATAAATGGCTCACACAATTTGAGCAGCACAAGCTTTGGCCATCCACAGCAAGACTCGAAATATTACAAGTTGAACACAGCACAGCCATGACAAGCTTTGTTCTCATTCCCAAAATCCTATCATTTCTCCACCTCCAGATATGATCCACAATCCCAGCCGGCCATGCAAAGCTTTTTTACTACGTAAGCTTTTTTACGGGGACGAGGATGAAGAGCAGATACGGAGATGGTATTGTCATACCCGGCTCGTTGCCATTCCTAACTCTTGGGTCGCTTCTTTTTCCACTTTTGGGAAGCTGTGTGAGGCACTGAGGCCCATAGGCTATATAGCTCACCCAAATTTTGATTGTTCATGAATGGGAACTTTATTTTTTATTGTGAGTGGGTCCAAGATTAAATTTGGGCTGTCCTCCTTTCCAATGTTGGGGTTTTTTGGTTAGGCCTCTGGCCCACCTCAACACCCAATGTGCACGATATAGACCAAAATTTGCTCTACTTCTACTAGGCCCTGGTTTCGATCGTTCTCTCTGTGTTTCCGCAGCATTATCCGGAAGAAAATCAAGCAAACGGTATCTATCTCGATCGGCTCCGCACGTAAGTTTTTCATTCATCAATCTGTCGAATGCTTCCGTGAATTCATCAGTTCTACTTGCATTGTTTGTTTGATATTTTAAGCTTGCTTAATTGATTCCGTGAATTCATCAGATGGACTGCATGCATACTAATTTAGGTTTAAAATTCGTGCCTCCAGTCCACCCTTACCCAGGCAATTAACAAATTAAATATACTTCTTTTCCTATTATATTCCTCGTTGGAGAAGGATAGGGATTGTCATCCTCATTGATTTAGGGATAGTTAACTACAATTATATATATATACAGATACACATACACATACATACAACACCTTCAGGTTGGAGTTGAGCCTGACAGCGACTCCTACGTACTACAGGTAATTATTACAGGTTGCTCGCTGATAGTGATGCACACACCCACCAACCAAGGCACAAAGCATGAACACGAGATTAGCTGCTTTCCAGTTATACGCACAGAGAATGGGCACGTCAGCTGCTGCTTCCGATGTACAGAGCATCCGCAGATCAACTCGTGCTACCACGTACCCTTTTTTTTATACCGGTGTGAGTCAAAAAGAAGATGTAAGAATCTTATTAGACCCAATTCCCAGGGACAGGTTCAAAATCTGTTTATATTATGAAAAGATAACTCGAGTCTTCCGTTGTATTGCTGGTGAGGATCGTAATGTAGAACTTCCTCATGCTTTAATACACCACCTCCTTGCTGAGAGGAGTTTCTATGTCCCTATACGTGATGTCAAGCAATTTTCATCAAGGCCTAAATGGACGCTTGTCTTGGCTTATCATCTTTCCAAGATGGGTGTCCCACAACGCGCGCAGCCAGCTCACATTGTAAGAATACTTGACTACATTGAAGAGGCCGACAACGACAGCTTTGAGTTGCCTATTCGTGTGCGTTTTGCGGATGCCGCTTATCGCTATCTGAGGTCGGACCACGACAACAACATCCTTGATAGGGTTATGAGGCAATCCTCGGAAGCATACAGGGCCAAGCTTATTCCTGCAGCTCAATCATCCATTCAGGGCTTGGAGAATGTGAGGCTTGATGATCCTACTTTGGCCCCGTCGTCCGCATGTATTATTTGTATGGAGGGCCTCCTCCATGATCATCACTCTGATAATATTAATGCCGTCCCTGCGTCACAAGATGAAGATGATGACCATGATCAAGATCAAGGTCAAGGGGTTGATCGTCATCGTCCACCAATGACGATCAAACGCTTGCCCTGCTTACACCAGTTTCATGAAGATTGCATCGTCCCGTGGCTGCAGATCAATCACTTGTGTCCCCTGTGCCGATACCCGCTGGAAGTGCGCGAGTCATCAAAACCCAAACGAAGGAGATTATCATGAAATAATGAAAGGAGACCTGCAGCCATGATGCTCAGCTGGAACAATACATGGTAAGATGTTAATTAATTGTTGCATTAGCTACGGACCTGCTTATTTCTATTTCTTTATTTTGAGGGGAGGGTTTTCATATCCTAGTGATTATGCTGCTCATCAATGAGAAAACAATGTACTACTGCTACTGGTGTTTTTAAGTTGCATTAGCGGATTTGTCTTGTTTAACTATTTGGGCATTTAAGCCTGAGAAAAGTAAACAATCTTAAGAACATAAATAATATATGGTTTTCCGAGCAAAATAATTTCATGTCTTAAGGTGTTTTTCCTCCTAATTATAGTCTAAAAGCTCTTCATTCTTTTCTTTTCTTTTCTGGTTGTTTGGTTTTCCTGCGACTTATATTCCTTCATGTTTTCCTATAAAGACTGCAAAATCATGAAGAAACTTGTAGCGTGCAAAAGAATTAAGTTAAAACCGATAATATTTATTTGTTTTCTTCCCCCTCGTTTTCTATGTAGTTGCCGTCGATCTTGAGTATAATCCTAACACAAGATCAAAAAAATACCTCCTAGTACAGAGCCTGAACTAATTGGGCTCTTTGCAAGGAGAGATAACAAAGCTATTTACCCCAACTTTTGCGGGGATAGATCAGAATGATATATGTACCTTGGTTTTCCTTAGGCAGAAGCTGGCTTGATTAGTATGTTCTCTTCGGGATCATAAAATCAACATGCATGTGGGATCATTGTACCTGGTATTCCTCTTCTAGAGGCTTGGCAAGCTGAGTGCATGGGAGCATCATATACTCATATCATCAAAGTCTTTAGAAGAAAGAAGAGTGGAGGTTGGAGTTGAGACTGAAGGTTATTAGTCTTACACCTCCCAAATATTAAGGTACTTCATTCATATTTTAAACTCCTTTTACAAAAGTTGTGAATTTTTTAGAAGGAAAATCATATCCATTCTCAAAGCAATGGATATTTTGAAGTTTTCTGAGTGTATGCGTCATATATATATATATGAGTGCCTGCACACATGTGTATATGAGATAGAGAGAGAATCAGGGAGATGGAGATGAGCTTGCTTAAGGCCTGTGTGAAAATATTGAGTGGATGAGTAATAGTACCTTATACCTAAATAACTTTGTATTTCCAAGGTATCCGTTAGATTCTATATTTTCATATGTTTTCCACAGCATTGCTCGATCGATCGATCTGGTTGGACCTTTAATAACAGCACATTACTTTGAACGCAATAAAAAAGCAGCAGCCTCGAGAACTAAATTGTGATCCAAGAAATTCACTTCAACCCGATATATTGAGATCAATTATAGCATTATATAATAGAAAAGAAATTAATTAAAAATGATAACTACAGATTAATACCTTTGATTTGTAGTTAACTCGATATTATACCTTTGGGATCAGAGTTTAGCGGTACTAACCACAGATTAATTAACTACTAGATTAGTGAGAGCTATATGTAATCTCTCTGTTGTCACTTTTATTTCGTTGCGCATACGGGCGGGCACAACATTTTCCAAGTCAATTATTTTATAACAAGCATGCATTTCCCAGCTAAAAGCCTTCCTTTAATGATTTTATTTTTATGTCAAAACATGATCCTATACTTTTCCTATTCCTATACATATATAAATTAAATATGATTATTTACATATGCCCAGCCCAGATGATCATACCCAGTCTCCCTCTCGGTGATCACTTGTTAATTCTTATAGACAAGCATCATCGATCTCTGCTTAGATTTAATACGTAGAAAACTATAATGTAAAATGTTGTGCTAATCGGCCTGGGTGATTGCTAATTGGACACATCTCTTTGTCTTAAGTGGTACAGAATAGGGAACTTTTTATAGTTTTCATATTGTAGT